CCATCTGAATCTGACTGGAAATTTTAAATGGCTGTATTTCCAAATAGGTCAGTGCCTATCATATCTGTCTCAACGTCAGAAAACTCCACAGAGCAGAGAGAATGTGTGAATTCTTAAAAGGCACTGTCTGAGTAAAGGGTGACCCTACTGTCCTTTTGAATATGCTTTTATTTAAGATGGTGAACCAGCACTGGACTTAGCTCTGAAGTTTTAGAAAAGCCTCCATAAACTTTTCTGGAATAGAATAGATGCAGAGTCTTCCTATGGATTCTTTGTTAATAAACATTTATGAAAATTAAGGAGCCCTGATCCACATGTAAATTTATTGAAATCCTATTTGAGATCAAATGAGGCCTGATTTTATAAAGTCTTCAAGTTTACTTTTTATTTCTTCTGTGAATAAGAGAGACCCAGAGGGAGAAAGAGAGAGAGAGAGAGATAGCAGCCCAAACAGAGTCTGGACACTGTATGCTTTATGAGGTTCTTTTCTCCTCCAAAGGATGGGTTGAACAGAGATGTAGGGAGTCTGAAAAAAACACGAGACTCTGATGTCATGTTGTTTATTGGCTGAGTTTAGTGGGAGTTCACAAAGCTTTTAGTAGGTTCACCATGCCCATAGCAGCACTTTCAAGTGCTTCCTCCCTCATAGAGTTTATAAGGCCTATGGAGAATACTCACAGAGCACTTTCATCCTTCTCAGGACTATCATAAGGATTAACAAGGTAACATATGTTGGACTAGCATGTGGCATGATGGTTAAGGGGCTGGATCTCACATAGCTGACTCTGCACTTCTATTCTGGACCTGGTGGTTTGAAAAACATGCCAGCCACATGTGTGTACATATCCAAAATCCCAAGAGGAGAAGGGATTATGGCATGGCCATCACCCCACGTAGTGATTTCTTACTTTCTCTCTCTCTGTCTCTTTGGCAAGCACACATGCCTTAGAGCAAAAATCTAAAACTAATAATAATAAATAATAATAAGATAATGTGTGTAGAGCAATTTACACAGTTCTTCCTAATGGTAAATCCTCATTAAATGCCTGTGATTATTACCATTATCATAGGGTTGTTGTGAAGAGAAGAAGGAGGACTGGCTGCCTGTTATAGTAGTAATTCACTGCCCAAGAGAAGCCAGAGACACATCTGGTAACTGTGGTTTGAATCCTCAACCTGGTCAGTCTGAGCCATGCCAGGCATGCACATGAACATTGATGATCCTACAGGTTGGAAGACTGGGGAAGAGTATTGCAGTGTGACCAGACCCTATGGAGGGTACTCATCTCTGTCTCTTGCATGCACTATATTATGAATAAAAAAATAAGAGCAGGTACCAGCAAGTGGCATAACAGTTAAGGTGCTGGACTCCTACATGGTCATCTGTGGTTCAAGACTTGGATCCTGTGGCGTGAAAATCATGCCAGGCATTGGGTGTACATGCCCAAAATCCTCAGAGGAGAAGGGAGGAGAAGGGATAGTGGTATAGCCATTCCCCTGGAGTGATTTCTCACTTTCTCTCTCTCTCTCTCTGAATCTCTGTCTCTCTCTTTTCTGGAGAGCACACATGCCCTACGACAAAAACCTAAAAGATAATAATACAATTTTAGGGGGCCAGCAGGTGGCATATTGGTTAAAGGTGCTGACTTCCATATGGCCTACTGCAGTTTGAGTCCTGGGGCTGGTGTCTTGTGCTCTCACTTTTTCTCTCTCTCTCCCTCTCTGGTTAAATTAAAATAGATAAATAAATGGGTAAATAAAGTTAAATAAAACAATTCTTTAAAAATAATAAAATTTTAAAGACTAAATTAAATCCATCATTAAGCAAAAGAAAAGGAATAATAGTTCAAAAAAGAGCAGAACTCAATGAAATTAAAAAATAGGAAAAAATAGAGAAAATCAGTTAAACCAAAAGTTGGTTCTTTGATGAGATCAATAAAATTGATTCATCTCTAGTAAGCTAACCAAGAAAAAGAGAAGATACAAACTGCCAATATCACAAGTGAAAGTGGAGCTCGTTACTACTAATCCCATTGGCATTAAAAGGAAAGTAGGCCCAGCCACAGGAGCAGGTGCTGGACTCCGCTGGCAGGCTTAAATGACTGGGTGGCTTTTTCCAGTGGTGGACAACTGCGACTTTTGTCCCAGGAAGTGAACATAAGAAAAACAATTACCCCTTTGCAATGGGAAAGAAAATTTTAAAAGGAGCAAGAACAAACATACCTGAATATGCAATAAATTATCCCTTCACTTTAATATTACTAAAACTGTTATAAAATACCTATTTATGAACTCAAATATATTGGGGGAAAGTAACAAGCCTCTATTACAGGCCAGGCATTTCTATGCTGTGTGAGACTTGGAGAGATGAATGTCTCAAGATGATGTTTTAGGAATGTATACTTTTTACTAGAAAGATAGCATAATGTGAAACTCGGTTTCTTCTTCTATAAGGGGGAGATAATGGTATCTATCTCATTGAGTTGTAATAAATATGAAGTGAACCATTACATGCAAAGTGTATAGAACAGTGTCTGGCACAACACATGTGGCATATAAGCTGAGGTAGACTTATAGTCTCTGTGTAGGGCACATTGGCTGTAAAGGTCTTTAGTTATTCAGCTCTGTATGTTTGCTACTGCTTAAGAAGCTGAGAGAGGGCTGGCCCCATAGCCTAATAGTTAAGAGAGCTGGATCCCATGTGACTGACCACAGTTCAAGCCCTTGAAGCCTGAAAAGCATTCCAGGTGCCTGTGCATGTGTGCCCCAAATCCCAACAGGATGGAGAAATGGAAGGGAAGGATTGCAGCATGACCATGCCTCATTGAGGAATGCCTTATAGCCCTCTCTTGCTGTTTTTCTTTGGTGAGCACACATATCCTCTTGCAATTAAAAAAAAAAATCTTAGAGACTCCTTAAGTTTTAACACATTAGCCAATATTTCATTGATTTCAGAGTAATAGCCTACTAGTGGGTACCAGTGTCAGTCACTAGAGTCTGACATGAGCATGGGTGTGTATATGTGCACATAAGTGTGTATGGCTTACTTGGGAATAGGATGCTATGTATGGGTTCTATCCAGATAAAGAAGCAGAAAAGCAGGGTGTACAATGGTCTGCAGAACTGAGGGGTCTGTAGGAAAGAACATTTTACAGAAAAATTTGCCTACCACTCCAGGGATCCTCCTAGAGCTACATGTTCTCAGAGGCCAATGCCAAGCCTGTCTACTCATCTTCTATTACCAGGAAGGCTCTGTTCCTCAGTGAATTTCCTTTCCATTCATTTTCAAATGACTTTTCTGATATGAATGGTGTTGAATATGCACAAGAAAGAGCAAGATAGAGGCAGAGGTATGTGTATGGATAGATTAGCATAAGTATAAATACAGTATATGTACCCATATTTAAATGATACAATGATAATATTGTGTAGCTGCCTCAGAGTGAAAGCTGATTAATTCAGCTATTGAGATGATAATTATTTCTTTCTCAGTTAATATCAGAGTTTAAAAAAAAGCACTGCAGAATTATTCCACATACTGTTCTTTTGACTCATTTTGAAGTAAGGAGTTTTATTCTGTTAACTATTGAGCTGTCTGTCAGTATCTATGACAGTCTTAAAGGAAATCATTCTTGGGAGGGGCTATGTCATAAGAAGACTTTGAAAACTTGCTAACTACAGTTCTGTTTATAATCATATCAGGCCCGTAAGCACTTTCCTGTCATCCCCTCCCTTGCCTCCCACAAACCTCTGTCTAATCAGTCTACCTCCTTGACTCTGAAAGTGTCGGAATCTGTGGTTAATGGTATAGAAGAGGAAGAGCAGAAGGGAAGGTGGGGCAGAGGAAGAACAGAGACTACGCCAGTCACATCCCTTCCAGACTCAGGCATTGTACCTGTTACAGGCTGTAGCTGTGCTACACTTTCTCTGGGAAGGTTTTGTTTTGTTTTGTTTGTTTATTTATTTCATGAACAAGAGAGACAGGGAGACAGAGAGACAATATTTCCAACAGGATCTTGATACCACACTATTCCCCAGCTTCTGCAAGCCCCAGATCATGAGCACACACTGCCCGGCATTCTCAGGGAAATCTCTGGACATGAACCCTGAAACTTTCCATGTGGGTCAGTCTCTCAGAGAATCCTATTTCACTGCTGTGCTACCATTCGACCTTTGGGAGATGTTTGCTTTTAGATCAAGGTTGGCATCTTTATTAGTACACCGAGCAGGCATGTTAAGTGCTGAATTGAAACCTTGAATGTGATTTGCTCCCTGAATGCCTAGTTAACAGCAGCTCACTCTCCAAGACTTAGCTCAGTATTCGCTTCCTGTCCTGATCTCTTTATTCTGAACTAACTGTGTCTGCGGGGCTCCAGCACAGCCTCCTGTCAGAAACTGTGTAACTTCATTTCACTTGTTTTAGTGCTTTGTGCATCTTTGCCCTCGGCCAGCTATAAACTCTAGAAGGGGCAGGGATGGATACTTGTCTTTGTACACTAGCAGCACCTAGCACTGGCTGGCACGTACTCGTTCCCCTAAAAAGACATTCAAAAGTAATTTATCTTAAAAAACTAAGATGTTTTTCCTTAAGTGAGGCTATAATTCAAACTTGTCTTTGTTCTTGAGAGACAAAAGCAACAACCTCCTGGACAATATAGTGTAATTAAATCTCCCCTTTGTTGGGGCCAGCAGGTATTATGGTGGTTAAGACAGTGGCCTCCCACTAGGCTGACTGTGGTTTGAGTCCTGGACCTGTTTGATTTGCTTTCTCACTTTCTTTGTCTCTCTCTCTCTCATGCGTGTACATGCCCCATAGCAAATTAAATAATAATACATACAATGAAATCATTCTTTAAAAAAAGCCTACTCCCCTCTGTCACTGGTCTACTCAGGGATTGCTTGGGTATTCTTAAGAAAAGAGGCTAGCATCTCTCCATCCAAATGTGTTCCCGGAGAAATTGTTAAGTGCCTTTTTACACTTGTCAGTGTTTCTCCCACAGGTTTCTTCAGGAGAAGCATTACCAAGAACGCGGTGTACAAGTGTAAAAACGGGGGCAACTGTGTGATGGATATGTACATGCGAAGGAAGTGCCAGGAATAAAAAAAAAAAGGAAGTGCAAGGAAATGGGAATGTTGGCTGAATGTATGTATACAGGTATTCACTTCAAGCAATTACATTCCACTAAAAATCTCTTAAGGAGGCAGATGTCAGGTAACTCCTTTAACAAGAGCAGTATTTCCCGTAGTATAGAAGAAATCTACTAAGCCATCCAAGTTCTCAAGAAGGTAATGAACCCCTGAAATGGTTCAAACTGTCAGCTAGAGAGCCTTCTAGTCACCTGAAAGGAATGGCGGTTTTGTTTTGTCGTCCCTGTGGTGGTGGTTCTCTGTTGCAATGAATTATGTGTGGAGTGAAGCGGCAAAAATATACAGTTAAAATAACATGTTTTAATGAGCTATGAGGAATGAATCTAAAATTTTTCCCCCTGTATACTTTTTATTTATTGCTTAATGACCATTTTAGAAAAAAAAAAAGAATATGAGTGCTTTAGAAGGTATAACTGCCTCTGAATTGTCTAAATAGAGTTTTAAACCAAGTCATTTCATTAAGAATCCATCTTCTCTTCGTGAGGCTTTGGACCAATTTGTGTAGGTTCACACCGGAAATTAACTACTCTGAGTTTTAATATAATTTTGTCATTCAATCTGATAAAGAGACACTGTATTAACTGCTGGCTTTGTGAGGAACCATAATCCTCATCAAAAATTGGAATGCATGCTCGTATATAACATAATTAATTTTTCATTCTGCAAATTCTACGGACCACTCAGATGCTGAGATATGGCCTGTTCCTCCTCAAAACACAAATAGACAAACAAATGTCACCAAGGGGATGATAACATTCAGGGAAGGAATGCCGCCTGAAATAAAAGCCTTCGGAAGTTGACTCCAGTTCTATTGTTTCCAAACTGTACAGGCAACTGGGATGGACCCAGAGAAATAATGTGTGCAGGAGGGGGAAAAATAGGTCTATGTAAGTAATCCAGCTCCGGGTGGATGAAAGTTTTATAGTGGCTGATCACAATCTCATTTTAGCATGCAGGAAACAAGAGCCTGCACTGGGGCTGCTACTGGAATCCAATCTTGCAATGGAAACATTTACTTTGACACTGGGAGGCTCCTATTACTGATCACTTAACTATGAGCTTGTTCCAGCTGAAGCTCCCAGGATATTTTGTATAAGTTCACCTATTCAAGTCTATAATGTTATTTATGAGCACAAAATCATCCAGAAACAGATGCAGATCTTTCACGATTCCCCCCCAAAAAAAAAAAAAAAATTAATTGCCAGTACGAAGAAATGACAGGGACTTTGCCTCATTAACATTGAGAGAATACAGAAGTTAAAGGGGAATAGGAAAGATGGTACTGCATTACTTCTTATAGCTCCGTTTAAGTATAAATCGATAATATGATCATTCAAAAGAAAATTTTCAAAGTCACCTTGAGTTATTGCCATCTCTATGTTCTCAATAACATGTATAGTTATAAAAATTAAGTTTTGTTAAAAAATTTTTTCCTATGAGATGTTAACATTTTTTCACTCAATATGTTTAATTATGTGTTTAGTGTGAAGTTGAATATACTTTTATGGTATAGTATGTATACATGGATAAAAATAATAGTAATGCTATGTTTTGAAACACCTGCTTTCAAGATTCTTCAAGGATAAGAAGAGTGTCAGTCGCCTTTTTCTGCCTGAATACCTTGCCTTTGTAAAACACTTTAGTATCTCAAATTCTTTGTACAAAGATCACTAAAAAAAGATCTGATTACATTTAATCTACATAAAATTCTATGAAACGGATATTATCCTCATTTTACAAATGAAGAAACAGAAGCTCATGGAGGGTAAACTTCTTGCTCAAGCTCAAGTTTCACTGTTGGTCTTCTCTTTTTACAACTTCCAGGAGGGCTAGATTAAGTCAGTGCCTAATTGCATAGGAGACCTGAACTGAGGACATGTCTGCTGGGGCCCGATCACATGCCCCATAGTACTTCCTGTGATTGGTGAGGTCTCCATGTTTATTTTTTCAGGCTTGCTAACTGAAATTCAGTGTAAATCTAAACGGCTAAGAAAAAATGTGAAGTCGCATGCTGATCAGAGCACGAATGAAGACAGCGAAGGACGCGACTCGCGACAAGTGACCTCAACAACGAAATCATGCAGGGTAATAATACGCGGTGGTGTCTGCCCAAACCAGCAGGAGCTGAGCTTCCAGGCCCACCTTGATTTGCTATTGCATTGCTGAAAGAAACACCTGAGCCTGGGTGATTTTATAAAGAAGACAGAAATTTATTCACACACACTCTGTTCTGCTGATTGAAAAGTCCAAAGTCTTAGACTTACAGCATGGCCAATAGAAGCATAGAGAATGTTGGGCACACAGAGAGATAAAGAGAGAGAGAGAGAGCCCAACACCTTTTTGATAACCAACTCTTGTTAGAACTAACCCCTTCTCACGAGAGCAAGAACCTACTGGGTCTCCTGAGACATCATTAACGTATTCACGAGACTCTGGTTTCCACGATGCAATCACGGTGAACCAACCACCACCCACTAGAGCTCACCCTGGGACACCATGAAGGAACTAAGTTTTCACTTAGTGCCTTTATAATACATGAGCAAATGGATGCCTGTGGCTGTGTCCCTGTATAACTTTATTTTTAAAACCAGGTAGATTTGGTCCATGGATCAGTTTACCAACCTCTGCTCTACATGGAATATTTTAAGATGGATTCTCCATGACATACGGAAACCTTTTTCTAGTTGTGATTAAACCCTGACTTTCACTGATGTTTTAAGAAAATGAGCTCAAATAGGCTTCATATGCAGGTTGGTTTATTACCAAGAAATACACAAAAGAAGTATTTTGTTATTCCTGGTTTACAGATAGGAAAATGAGACACTTTTAGTGAAATTTAATATGACTAGTCCAAGAACTCAGAGAAAATGATTATAGACTGTTAATATAGCCTCTCTATATTGCAGACTATTGATATAGCTTTAATAATCTCACCATTCCTGTTGTACTTAGGGCTTTTCCCCATAATTTCAGCTATGAGTTCCCTCAAGGTAATGCACATATAGGAAAAAACCTTACAATCACTGTCCCTAATACCTTTTATTTTCTTGCCAGTGTAGGAGAAAACTGAACTCACCCCAGATCAGCAAAATCTTCTACGTTATATTATGGATTCCTATAGCAAACAGAGAATGCCTCAGGAAATAACAAATAAAATTGTGAGTATGCTATCCTAAAATACATGGGTTTGAAGTAAATACTTTTACAACTCTTACTATCTTGGAAACAAAATTATATAGCAATATGTTACTTTGAAGTGATTGGAGTTGAGTCATTAGTTAGTTAAACATGGAAACTTTGGGCAGCACTGAACAGTTATAAAGAGTAAGAAGTTTCACATCTGTCTTGATAATAGAACAGAGTAAACATCTATCATCCAAAATTTGAAATCCTAAATGTTCCAAATCTGAAATTTTTTAAGTGCTCTAAGATACCACAGTAGAAAATACCACACCTGACTTCCTGTGACAGGTGGCGGTCATAAAGCTATACTGCAAAAATACCGTATAAAATTACCGTTAGGTTACGTGTATAAGGTATATATGAAACTTAACTTTTTTTGTTTAGACTTGGGTCCATCGCCAACATATTTCATTATATATATGTAAATATTTCAAAATCAGAAAAAAAGGGGACAAAACAGAAATCTAAAACACTAATGTCTCAAGCATTTTTCGTAAAGAGTATTCAACCTGTTATTGCTCTCCAAAGATCAGAGAAATATGAAAGGGTTTGTTAAATTTTATCATCTAAATCTAGTTTTTCATTAGCTGTATGGTTTCATGTTGACTCATACCCTTGTCTACTTAATAATTATTTTCTTTATTTAAAAAATTTAGTTAAAAGAAGAATTCAGTGCAGAAGAAAATTTTCTCATCTTAACAGAAATGGCTACCAGTCATGTCCAGATTCTCGTAGAATTCACAAAAAAGCTACCAGGTATTTTTTTTTTTAGTAATAAAGTTAAAATTCATCAAGTGTTTAAATGTGCTACAGATTACATTAGCCACTTTCTATACAAACGTTTTGTTCAAGTCCCAAAATATTCCTGTGAGAGCAGATGTATTTCTGTGTTACTCTCGCCAGATCCTTTTCCATGTAGGTATTTCCCTGCTATGCTTACAATGTTCTTGTAAATCGGTAGGGGCAGATCTGTTCCTTGTAAAATGGGAATTGTTTCCCCTCTGATTTAAATGCATGTTTGTAACTACTTATACTTCAGATGTTATTAACGCATCCAGGAGGAATATTTAAAATCAATGAAATAATTCCTCAAATTGATATATAAAAGATTGTGACTTTGCAAAGCTGTCATTCACCCATTTATTAGTTCAGTAAGCAGTTGCTGATACTTACTCTATACTGAGAGCCTATTACCTTCAAGAAGAGTGGTTAAAGGCCTTAATATATATTGGCTGTCAGAAAAGTCATGGTGCATTTTTTGCATTAAGAAGCATAGAAAAATATGTCATGACTTTTCAGACAAATATATATATATATTATATTTTCTATATATTAATATACTGTAGGGGCTGGCAGGTGGCATGGTGGTTAAGGGTGCTGGACTCCCACATGACCAACTGTGGTTCAAGTCCCAGACCTGGTGTCTTCCTTTCTCACTTTCCCTCTCTCTCTGTGTGTCTCTCTGGTCAAATTGGAAAATACTAATAATAATAAAGTTAAAATAAAATAATTTTAAAAAAAGAAAACTATTATACTTAATTTTTAGAAAAATGATAGGGGTCAGCCCCATAATACAGTGGTTAAATGCTGTGTTTTGGGAACTGGATTCCATGTGTCAAACCTCCATATATGTGTGTATATATAGTATATACCTAGTATATAATGAGTATAATATATATTATTAATAATATAGTATTATATTATATTATAGTGTATATATAATACATACATTACATAAAGTGTAATATATAACATAATATGTAGAAATAAATGTATAGTTTTTTGAAAAATACAGATATAGTTTGAAGAGAAGCATTAGTTGCTAATTGTGTCTGGGGAGGCTTCAGAGAAGATACTTGAGTTGGGTGTAAATGAAACAGGTGTTTTCCAGTTGGCCTGGGCGAGAAGGGGACTTCCAAGCTGAGAGCTGTGCTAGTGAACAGGTGGTAAGTCATGAATAAGGACAGGCCTACTGGAGAAGGGAGAGAAAATTCAGTGTGGCTGTTGCATAATGTGCATGGTGGGCTCTTTGTTTACACAATAAGATAAATTGGTACCAGACTGATAAAGAGTCTACGGAGCTGAATATTTGTTTGCAGTATGGTAAAGAGATTTTGTTGACTCTTATTTTTCTAGAGAGGTAAATGAGAACATTTTTGTCATAAACAGAAGGCTTTCTCAGGTTTGTATAAGATGAATTTGCATGGGGACGAACTGAGGCGGGGAGAATCAATTAGCACGTTACTGCACAGGTCCAGGCCAGAGGACTTGAAATAAAGCAATAGTAGACAGACGGAGGGAGAAGAGGGCTCCAAACATTGATAGGGCTTGATGAACAAGTCTATGTGAGCTGAGGGAAAGGGATTTATCTACCGACACTCTGGTGGTGCCAGTACAGAAGCTGGAAGGCAGAAATCATCTCCCAGCCTCAATTCCTTTCTGCTACATTATTAGTGCTATCCAAGTCAATAGACTTGAGCTTGTTACAGTGTTTAAAAAAATGTTTAGTGTATTAGAATCCCATAGTCCAGAAGAGAATAATAAATAGCTCGTACAGCAACAGAACACTGTAATATTAAATTATAGAAGGTAACTTCTGACATAAGATTTTAATTAGACATGTTAATTTGTTTTCTTTTTGCCATCATTATGCTATTCTTTGATTAAATGTGTCAGACAAAAGCCTTTATAAAACTCACAAAATGTGGGGAGAACTTTTTGTATCATTGAAATATCATTAATATGCTGTAATTTCTGTTTTCTTTTTTTTTTGGAAGGGTTTTTGCTATAGGGGTTTCTGCACTCACTAGAAAGAGAGAGAGACAGAGAGACAGAAAGTGAGAAATCTCACCCTGAAGTGGTGGGTGGCCATGCTGCAATCTCTTCTCCTCAATTCTCCTCTCAGGATCTTGGGCACACACACACACACACACCCAGTGTGAGTTTAAGCCACTGGGTCCAGGACTTGAACCACAGTCAACTACGTGGGAGTCCAGCAACATAGCCATTACGCCTACTGCTGGTCCTGATATGCTCTAATTATTAACAATAAAAGAAGAACTTAATTATTACATATTAATTAAACTGAAGCCAACCTTGATCAAAAATGAGATTATATATGGTGGTTTTGATTACTTATGAGAAAAGTTTTTCAGCTCAAACTGGTCAGTTGGTCTTGAACCAAAAAATAATTGAAGACAAAAGAAATCTCATTCATAAAAACGTAGTTTATCTGAAAGCAACAGCAGTATCTCAATGTTTCTTCATACCTAGTGCCTAGCTTTGTTCCTGGGGGAAGAGTATACTTAATGTGTGCTCAGTAAGTAAACAGAAGAAAAAATTAAAATATGAGGGTTCTTCAAAGGTTTGTAGAAAATGGAATTAAAGTTCAAATTTATTTTGGTGCTAAACATAATATACATTTTCCATGAACTTTTTGAAAACCACTCATATAGAAGGAAATATAAAGCAAGAAACTTAAGAAAGAAAAAAAAATAATTATAAAAGTGACAATACTGGGACCAGTAGGCAGCATACTGGTTACATTGCTGAACTCCCCCGTAGTCGATAGCAGTTTGAGTCTTGGACCAGGTGGCTTAAAAAACTCATGCTGGGCGTGTATGTGCATGTGCATACCTAAAATTTCAAGAGGAATATGGAGGAGAAGAGATTGTGGTGTGGCCATTCCCCCGGGGGGTTATTTTTTGCTTTCTGTCTCTCTGGCAAGCGTATACACCCTATAGCAAAAAGTCTCTATCTCAAACAAACAAACAAACAAACAAGACAGTATTATTACAAACAGTAATAATAATTATATAATAGTACTGAAATCGTATTTTCTGAAAAACATTCAGTAACTCATTGAGCCCATACAGTGTCAGGCACTGTCCAGGGTGCTGGAGACCCAGGGGCTGTAGGCCTTGCACCTACTCTCAAAAGAGTTCTTAAATTCTCAAGGATAGTGACTCTTAATCCTTAGCATTTCTGGTCTTTCTAAAATCCCATTGCTATTTAATCCTTCCCTAAGCCATTTTGGCTCAATGGCATTATTTATCTGTGTGTGTGTGCATACATGTGTACGCGTGTGTGTGCGTGTGTGTGCCAGCATGCACATAAGCTTATGTTTAGTTTGTTATTCATCTGTTCACTTATTCAGTCAGTTATTCAATCATCCAACAAATAATTGTTAGGTACCTCTTTTATGTCAGGCACTGGCGATGTAACAGTTTATTCTCTAGTAGAAGGCAGACAACAAGCAAACAAACAAATGAATTTATATTATCACATTAGTCAGGGGTAAATTCTTTGAACAAAATTAAGCAAGTAGGGACTAATGAGTGCCAGGAAGTACTCTTTTAGGTAGAGTAACCCTGGATCAGAGACCTGATTGCAGTAAGGGAGCAGGACAGGGAAAAAGCATAGATCTGGAAAAACATCTGCTCCTAAGCAAAAGCAAGCTGTGTGTTCACAGCAGAACCAGCCTGGCCAGTGTTACTGGAGCGTGGGAGTGAGGAGGAGGTCTAGGTCAGGGAGGCTGTAGGGGACTGTACCATATGAAGCTGGATAAAGACACTGAATTTTCCAGGGAGTGTCATATTTCTTTAGACTGGCTATTCTTTCTGATGTTTCTCAGATCTTCATTGCCCTGCATGGTATATTGCTGAGCTCTAGATAGGTAACTCAACTTTTTTTGGTGAAATGCTATTCCTTCTATAGATTGACTAGAGCCTCATGAGTTGGCCAATTATTCCTTTAACTCTTTAGAGGCACATCAAGATTTTCCTGGCTTGTGAATGATTCCATACTGCAAAATTGACCGTGTGACACCACATGTGACCCAAATAATGGTCAAAAATTATCTGTCTGGCTCCAGTTTCTGAGAGTTGCTTCATCAGAATCACTCTGCCTTTGCCATAATACATATATTTTGTGAGAACTTGTCATCCCTTTCACCCCACTCGTTCACTAAATCTTCTCTTAACTAATTTAACTTTCCTGATGGACAGTTTAGCCAGCTACTTAAGTATCCCATTTTAAAGAGGCAATCAGTAAGTGTCAGTTCGATTTAAGAAAGAGTTACAGACACAAGGAACAACAGAGCTGAAAGTCAACCTCTATTTTGGGAAGTACAATAAGAACTTACTGACTTCACTGCCTATGTTAAAGAAATTACAGTGCACTTTATAAAAATGTTTTATCAGTGGGGGTCATGCAGAGGATGAAATGTTGGGATGGGTCACTCATAATTCCTTGACATCAATATCGTCTTAACTCAGGATTTCAAACTTTGGATCATGAAGATCAGATTGCTTTGCTGAAAGGGTCTGCAGTTGAAGCTATGTTTCTCCGATCGGCTGAGATTTTTAATAAGAAACTTCCAGCTGGACATGCTGACCTATTGGAAGAAAGAATTCGAAAGAGCGGTAAGTGATTTAGTTAATGGTAAGAAGAAAAAAAACGTTTGTTTCTGCAAGTAAAACTTGGTACACCCCATTAAGGCAGGGCCCTTGCCTATGTCATGCAATATCGTATGCATTCTGTGCCTACTATGGAGACTGGCTCTGAAAAGCTATGTCAAGTGACTGGGTCAGAAGTCAGTGTTGAATAGCAAAATACAAAAACAAAACAAAACACAAATCTTTCTTTGTGGCACTAAGATGAAAGACCAAAGGAAAAATTCTTTTAAAGATTGAAAAAACTAGCTTGACTTAAAAAAAAAAAAAAAGCAAGAGCATAAAAGATTTGGGAATTATTCGTTATTCAAAACCAGTAAGTATGGGCCTAGTTGCTGGGGAAGGGTGAATGCACAAGAGCCTGCAAATGCTGGAAGTCACAGGAAAGATGAAGCTTTGGTTCCCAGGCCAAGGTGATGCTCGGTGCACATTGTGTGCCCATCATCCTAGCTGGGCAGGAAAAGCTGGGGGAGGATCATGGGAGAAATTCTCTTGAGGGTGCTTGTCTCTCTCTCTCTCTTTCATACAAGAAATAATGAGTAAACTAAAAAAAAAAAAAACCTTTAAAATATAAAAGAAAAGGTATTCAGATAGTATTTATCTTTATTGAAAATCAAATAAGAAATTGTAGGAGCAACATTTACGTATCATTTACAAGGTTATACACACTGCTCTAAATATATACCTGATTTTTGCAGTCTTGCAACAATCCCGTGAAGTAAGTATTCTTATTGTTCCCCATTTTACAGACAAGTAAGCCGAGACAGAGAGAGGTTCAATACCTTTTTCAGAGACAAACGTGGAGTCTGACTTCAGAGGCCAAGTGTCATACACAGTATGCTAGCCTCTGAAGAGACGCAATGAAGTAATAGCATGAATTATTAAGTAATCATACTATGACGCAGAGGGCCGAGAACCTTTGAGATGAAGTACCAGGAATTCTGTGCAATTTAGGAGATATTTAAAATAGGCTAAGTTCTTATTTTCCTGAGAGATATTATATATGAATGAATGAGATAAAATGACTTTTCAAGATCTCTTCTTTCTAAAGTATTATCATTCTATGACTGACTGAACAAGTTTAAATATTTTTAAAACCAGCGTTTCAGAATAGATGTAAGAAGGAAAATATTCAGGGAGTCCTGTTATATAAATGAAAGAAATCAAAAATGGAAACTTATTTTTGAAAGCTGTCTTCCCATAGTCATTCTGTTTTCTCCTGTAAGTTAAAAACTGAAAGTTATATATATATACACACACACACACATCTCTGCTCTATATTAAGAAAAAAATCCACCAAATAAAACCCAAAATGGTAATTAGCATCATTGGTAGATTTTTAAAAACATACGCTTTTTAAATGTGTATTACTATTATATATCCATTGATTTATTAGTGTAACAAATATTTAAGGACAAGGTACTATGGTGGCAGTGAAGGAGTCAAACGTGTCTGGTCCCTAAGAAGGTGACAGTTTAGTAAAAAAATAATAAACTGCACATAATTACAGTAAAATGTGGAAAAGGACAATTGAGAGAGAAATATCTTCTCGTTGGGAATCTTTCCAGTCTAGAAAGGTGGTTTTTTGTTTTGTTTTGTTTTGTTTTTGGCATTTGAGCTGGGCCTTAGAGATCTGACTTGATACCTCGGGTGGAGATGCCGAGGAGAAGGACCGCAGGAGGGAAGGAGTGGAGGGAAGCTCAGAGCATGTGCGCAAGGCAGGGCAAGTAGCTAAACTGATTGGATTAAGGGATACCTTAAAGGGAATAAAAAGAGAAGAAAAGAACCAGATGACCTAGGGCCTTGAAAGCTGAGCTAAGGATTTTGTTATTTCTTAAGGAAGGGAAGGTTGGGATCAGCAGATGGTGTAATGGTTATGTTGCTGGGCTACCACATAGTCGACTGCAGTTCAAGTCCTGGACCGGGCAACTTAAAACTTATGCGGGGTGCGTGTGTCTGCATGCCCAAAATCCTGAGAGGAGAAAAGAGGAGAAGGGATTGCGGCATATCCATCCCCTCTGGGGGGGGGGGTGATTTCTTGCTTTCTGCCTCTCTGTTTCTCTCTGTCTTTCCAGTGACTGCATGCACTCTACAGCCTCACCAGCTTACCCTGGTCATCTATTCGGCTCTGGTTTCTGTGGGCTGTGTATTGTTGTTTTCTTTAAGAAAATCTGTAAGTCAGACTTAATCTAATAAATAAAAACTAATAAAATAAAAGGGGGTGGTTATAATAAAATAAAAAGGGGTGATTATTTGTATGACCAAATATTATTCATCTTATAGATCGGTCTTTTCCATTCTCAGAGGATCCTACTCTAGTTATGGTGACTGAAATCTGTCTTAAATCTAAGCTCCATCATTTACTAGCTATTTGTCTCAATCATTGATAAAAAGCTATTGAAATAGATCTCAGAATGAATTTGATCTCTTTGTAATCATGTCTAACTTTAACTTGTGTTCTGTGCGCTTGTCTGGATTTTGATATTGAAAACTTTCTAAGACAGGCTCTGCTTCTTTGGGGTCAGTAATTTACCCCAGGCATCTAGCAGGTGTGTGGCTTGGCGTGGGTGCACAACCCAAACCTGTGGAATGAATGGATGAAGGTTTGTCTGCAGCTAAGTCTAACCAATTGATATACTTTGCAGATGGTTCTTCCCCGAAATATCAGAGTTACTGGTATCCCAGACTGACAGCTAAAAGTCTTTTCCAGACCTTGTCTATAGTCATTGTTTATGAAGACAGTTCTTTTGCATTTGGGTGTAAGAAAAGGATAGGCGGAGTTCAGAGACTCTGCCATGTTCGCTCTCTCCTCTTCCTCCTTCTCCTCTTTCTCACACATGAGGCATTTAAAATGTATTCAGGTGCCAGACGATGAAAACAGGTGAGCTGAAATGTCTTGATAGGAGGACATCTGCAGGGGAATTGTGCAGTAGCTGTCCTCTCTCTCCTGGGTGTTTAGCTCCCATTTTTTCTCTTTGCCTGGATCTTGCAGCTCTCCTGGGTGCTGTGCCCAGGAGGGGCTGCCATTTCCTTGATGACCACTGGGCTGCACTGGGTCCCTTCCCCAGCCTGGCTGACGTGGGGCAAGTCCTTCCATGGTAGTTCAGCTCAAAGAGAAATCAAAAACAGAACAAAAAACACACAACTAAATCAGTTTTAAAAAATAGCAGAAATAGTAAGTCCTCGAGTATATGGAATATGTGTGTACCTATGATCCAGACCAGCCAAGTCTGGGGATGGATCATGGTGTCAGGAGCCTGCCAGGGGTCTCTCTGTCTCTCTGTCTCTGTCTCTCACTGTCTTTTTTACTCACGGTCTGCATAAACTTAAAAAAAGAAAAAAAAGAAAAAAAGCCGGGTGCTGTGGCATGTGTCTGTAGTCCCAGCTACTCAGAGGCTCAGGCAGGAGCACCATGACCCAGTGAGACCCTGTCTAAACACCACACACACACACACACACACACACACACACACACACACAACATACCACACACCCACAATAATCAAAAAGAAAAATAAAAACCTTTGCTTTAATTTCATAACTTGGGATTTTTCAGGTTTCAGAAAAGTTCAAGACTGAAATTTTTATTGTAACACTGTGATGTGCAAATAAATGTGCATATCTCTAATTCATATTAAGAGACTTTCCCCCAAATCAACCACATATTGTGACAATAAAAACCACCCAAACTCACAAGCAGCTTTATATTTTATTATCTAGAACGATGCCTCCATTTATTAATATTTATGATTTTGCTTCTCCCTGTGGATTTTTAGAACATTGCCGCTTCCACACACCACATAAAAACCTGATCCGGCAAGATGACCTTTCAGAATAGCTTTTTATTTTTATGCTAATATAGTGCATGCTTTTTCTATTGTACGTTTAATTCCAGAGTAACAGAGCATCACAAAGTTATTCTGTTTATACGCACAGAACTCTTTAAAGAATATGTAAAACTTCTTTTCTTAAACTTTAAATTCATACTCTTTTGTTTGTTATTATTAAATCCCACTCGCACACACAAAGATATTGTTTCTTGAGATACTTTTGTTTAATGAGTTACAGTGTTTGTTTGTTAATCAGGGCTTCAGAACATGTATTTGACACAGCCAGTGTTGACTTATTTTGATTCAATTCTAATAAATCAATGATTTTATTTGCAATGTATTATAATGCAAACTAGGTTTTAAAGCTGGAATTTTAAAGTAAAAGCAGGAATAATTATATGATATAAAATATGATAGGACTGAATGACCTTGCTAATAATTAATGATTTTTTTTTTGAGAGAAATTTTTGCTATAGGGTGCATGCACTCACTAGAAAGACAGAGACAGAAAGTGAGACATCACCCCCCAGTGGGGACGGCCATACCGCAGTCCCTTCTCCTCGATCTTTTCTTGGGATTTTGGGCACACACACACATGCACCCAGCATGCGTTTTAACCTGCTGGGTCCGGGGTTCAAGGTGTGGCCGACTACATGTGAGTCCAGCAGCCTGACCATTGTCATCTACTGGTCCTGAGTTTATATTTTAATATTAAGGAAATTAGCAATAACCTCTCCAGACTTTTTATTTAAAAAAAAACATAGGTCCAAAAATATGGCACAAATGACTGACTGGGTAGAGTTGGCAGCTGAAATAGAAGGCAGGATCCAATCTCCTGGCACCATAAGAATGTTTCCATTTTCTTAATGACGTCTCTTGCCTTCGTCGCATCTCAAAGCTATGTCACCTTTGTCACAAGGAATTAGTAAAACGTACAACTACTGAATTTAGCAAACATGTATTAAGTAACCTCCTCCCATGTCTCTAGTAAGATGCTAGTTACCAGAGACACAGAGATGACAAGGACCATCTGCGGCGCACACCTGATGGGCCAGCCACTGGGAATGCAGGGACTGGTTCTTCATCACACACTTCCCATGTCGTTTCACACTCTAGTGGACAGCAGGGAGATGATAGGTA